TTTTTTGATATAAGAGGGGGGACGAAAAATAGGAAAAAAAAAAGAAAGGGAAAGGGGTAGAAGAAAAACACACGATCAACACCTCTCAATGAAAGCACCAATGATGAGGATCGTGTGTTTCGACTGCCGATAAGCCGCGAACCCGCGCCTTGAATCGCCTATAGTGTTTCTCTAGCCACAACCGCGCCTATTGAAACGATAAAATTGCAATAGTATTCTGGTGAAAAGACTAAAGCAAAGTTGGAAGAACAAAGTTCTAGCTTTCTATTTATTTCTTGAATGATTGAATGAATAAAAATAACATAGGGGAAGCAGCCTTTATATAGGCACCAACTAGATCTAAGTCTATTCTACCTAGGGAACTAATAAAGTAATAAAATATTAAGAATCCTAAACAATCTAGAAATTATAATGCAATAAGGAAACGAAATAGCTAGGGGATCCAATGCCTTGGCTTGCACTCCAAGTAGTCTTGTCTTGCACTCCAAGTAGAAGACTTTCCAACCTCCTCTCTCTCTCTCTCTCTCTTTCTCACGCCACCTAGGTCTTCCCGCCGCCTCACGACTCCTTGCCTTAGTCCTCGAGGACTAAGGTCGCGTCTCCTACGCCCGCCTATCCACTTGCCTCGAGGAGTAAGGTCTCGCGCCTTGTATACGCTATTCCTATTCCTTGAAGGATAAGACTTCGAGCCCACATCCACTATACCTATTCCTACTAGGAATATGCTCCCAGCTACATTGCCTGATCTTCCGATGATTACTCCCGTCACCGATCCTTCACGCGCGTTACGGCACTCAACTGCTTTTCCTAGTCCTGTGAGGTCTAGGATTCCTATTCCTATGAGGACTAGGCTTGCTGCCTTGGTCTTGCCTCGCCCTTCGGGTGCACACACGATCGCACCCTTCACCCGCGTGACTATCTCGTGCGTGTCGCCCAGCTTGCCTAAGCCTACTAGGCCTAGGTCTTCGCCCATCCCACACGCATCGCCAACTGCGCACGCGGCTCGCCCATGCGCCGCCTGCTCCCGCGTGTCTTTGTCAATCGCGCGACTGCTACCCACGCTTGATAACCCCGCGATATTCTCGCGCCTGTCCACTGGCCCGCGTGTCCCGCTCAGCGCCCCAGAGCTCCGTTCAACTATTGTGCGCCTTCGTGCGCTCAGCGCTGTCCGCATATCGTCCAGCACCCTATGCGTGCTTGTCCATTTGCTGCAATCCCTCGTGCGCATCAACCTCCCGACATCCTCCCCTTGCGCACCACTTCGCCTAATCTCCAAGCGCCATGCGCGTCTACGCCAATGCGCATGTTCGCGCCCTTCCTTGCGGTCGTCCCACGTGCGCGCTATCAACCAAGCATCCACCCCTCGCGCACCACTCGTCCTCTCAGCAATGTAAACGCCCGAGGCCTTAGCCTCTAAGCGTCGTGCGCATCGCTCCCTTGCGCACGCCTTGCACCAGTCGACCGCATCGCCCGAGTCTACTATCGTACACTTGGCCCTGGTCCGCTGTGCGTAGCCTTTCCTCCATTGCCCTAATGTTGTACGCCGATGGACTACCTTCTCGCGTGCCCTTGCGCACATCCATGAACTCGACCCTTCAAGCCTTGATCTCTCGAGCCTCTTTCTCGACCTCCTATGCCATTGTGCCCGTCGGCACCCTCGCATACGGGCTCGTGCACGTCTCCTAGGCCTTGCAAGCCTTGTTTGCGCCCTTTGCTTGGCCTTGTCCATTAGCCTCGGCCTTCGGCCTTTCTCATCATCGGGGGTCGAAACCCACTTCCGTATCAGCGCGGCACAGCAGAGCAG